TTCTTGCTCAGAAAAAGGATCAACATGCTCTGAAGTCAGAGCACAAAAACCTTTTTGTAACAAAGTATCGATTTCTGCTGTCCCTGTATCCATACATTATTAGCAAACAAAATATCACCATACTACACAGTATCCATTTTCCCCCACCCCTATTAGCCACCGTTCTCCTGTCACTCACCACCTCCACTGGGTCCAGAGGGCGTCCTAGAACAGAGCTGGCCCTGTGGATCAGCCTGTTCAGTCTCTTCCTGTCCCCAGCTGAGATGCTGCCGCCCCAGCAGACCACACCATAAAGGATGGCTGAGGCCACCACAGAGTCATAGAAGGTCTTCAGGAGTGGGCCCTCCACTCCAAACGACCTGAGTCTCCGCAGCAGGTACAGCCTGCTCTGCCCTTTCCTGTAGAGGGCGTCTGAATTATGAGACCAGTCCAGTTAAAAGGGAGTTTTTTCTTCCCACTGTCACCAAAGTATCTACCTTACAATATAAAGCACCTTGAGGCGACTGATGTTGTGACCTGGTGCTGTATAAATAAAATAAACTCATTTAAATAGAATGAGGTGCTATGGTCAGGTGTGTGTTTGTTTTTTATGTTGTTCTCAGGAGGAATCATGTGTCTGTCAAATGCTCTTCAGTCAACTGCAGCAGTGACAGTCGAGTACAGACACCAGGAGCATCACGCCCTCTGGTGGCTGTAACCAGTAACGGAGCTCATGTTGTGAAAGGCACAAATCTGGAAACTTCAGGCTGCCTTCTGCTCACACGTGACGTTTGTGGGGCTGAACAAGTCAAGCAGTGAGTGCAACATGAAGCTAAAGAGTAATAACAACAATAGAAAGTGCTCCTCCCAGAAATAAATCCACTGTGACTTCTACTTACATCCACTTCTTGCTGTGAACTTTGTCGCAGTTTCAAACACGCATGAAGTGATTTTACCTTTTACCATCATATGAACTACCCAGTGTGCCTGGATATATTTATATCTGCACTGAGCCACTTTTATAAAAGGCAAATTAAGAAAAGGAAACCTAAATGGTGATTGACTTAGTAGATGTTTGGTTCGATTGAAAATCTGACTGCACAAATGACCGCCGTATTCTGTCTGAGGAAGCATGAATGTAACGACTGTT